GCCACCCTCGCTTCTTGCCATGGTCAATGATGGCACTTGGCCAGGGGATGGGTTGCTGGTCATGGGAAACCCGATGTCTCGCCCCTCCGCATCCGAAATCGCCCAGAACTACATCTTTTTGAGGCCTTTGGCCATCATGTCGCTGCGGCGAGCACCTCTAATTCATTCATGTTGAATTTGGTGTTTTAAACAATGTTTGTTCACGGGTGTTTCCTTTGGATAAAGAATGGTGATTCATGGTGTTTGCTATGTCCTCGCTCAGGTACCCAGTGCGTACTTTTTGACCGACTGCTACATCTACTTGGACTTGATGTTGCAGAAGAAGCTGTTCAAACCGCAGGGGGCTGACTCCAGGCAAGAGATGGCAGGTCGTGAGGGGGTCAAGGGGAAGAAGATGATGGGCGGGTTGCGGTATCTTTGGCGCAGCAACCAAGATGGAGCTCATGATTCCAGAATCCGTGACCTCAAGTCGTTCCTGAGATGTTCCCCTCGCAGGCCCCCGGCCCATGCTGTCACTGGTCTTTGATTTGGGGGTGGGTCTTTCTAGCAAATTCTTTGGCTCTTCTGTCAGCTATCGAAATGTGTGTATTCTGCATCATTGGGTTGTTTTGGCAAGTTTGCGTTGTTTTGATGTTGGGGGTTTGCTTGAAGTTTCAGTTCAATGGGGCTTTAATGAGGTGGGTGCTGCAGGTTTTTCCTCCTGTTTTCTTGCAAGCATTTTTATGCTATCTTCTTCTTTTCCATCCATGTTGATGAGGTCGAGGAGGAAGATCTTTGGGAGGGTCAGCAAGAGGAAGCAGGCAGGGATGGTAGAAAAAAATCTGGCCCACTTCAAAGTTCATAATCTGTTTCATAGAAAACATTTCACTCATAGTCCCGAATTTGTTCCAGACAAGTATAGCATCCCCTGCCAGAGGTGATGATGGCAACCCCGGTGACATTAATGCACCTGAGCGTTCTGATTCAGAGCATGGTGATGGTCCCGAGCCGAATGATGATCATGACAGTGATGGTTCAGAGCAGGCTGATGGTGATGCTGCTGATGGCGAATCCAATCGTGATGAAGGTCAGGGTGGACTAGAAAACAAACTGAATCGATTTACTTTTTTGAAGCTTGATTCCCAGCCCACTATTTTTGAAGGGTTTAACTCTTGTTTGGGTAGCGTGCATGCATGTGCAGGTGAGAAGCCCGAATCCGAGTGTGAGTCTGTTTGCCGTGAAGGTGATTCCGCTGGACCTAGCCCACTTTCTCCGTCTCCAGGCGTTTCAGGGCAAACATGATGAAACAATTCATTTTGCTGATATTTGTTCAACCAGTGTGCATCAGTTTGGTTTGAAAAGGTTTGCAAATGTTTGCAAGTGCTCATGTTTTTTGAAGGAGTGAGTTGTATGTGCACCCCCTAATGCAATAGAGTTTTGCAAAAACATCCAAACAAACTTGATCACCAACGGTTTTTTATGTTAGAAATTCTACATAATCACATTCAATGGTCATTTCCTCCGTTACCTTCCCATTCAGGTGGACGTGACGAATTTCCAGGGGCTGAGTCCAGCAATGAAGGTGGGGGGGGCGGCGAAGCAAATCATTTGTCATTATATGTCCCTGTTTTTTGATCGTGGTGGTTTTGCCTTAAGCCCAAAGTCGTGACCCCAGAGGTTGCCATGCAAAGACTGCCAGCGATGTTTCTTCTGAGAGCGAAGGTTCTGAAGGTGTGGGGTTTGCAACGTTTATTGGAGCAAGTGGTTTGGTTCAAATTCTGATTCAGTGGTTTGTGTTTGGAAATTTGTGGTGGGATTTGTTTGAACCTGTGTAATGGGTTTGTTCTACCCATATTGCAGCCTTCTTGACAGGAGCAAGCCCAGCTCCAGCCTCACCGGAGCCAAGCATCCTCCGCAAGCGGACTTTGTCACTTGGAGAGACTCCGAGCAGCGACGATGGGATCGATTGGCGGGACAGCCAGGTCAGTTCAGGATGGCATGGGAAAGCAATTACCTATTGGAACAAGGTCGAGAAGGAAGAGGCTGCCATCGCCAAGGAATTGGCTTCGGCCATTCATCTTTGCTTGCGAGGAATGTAATTTTGAAAGTTTGAATTGGTTCCATCAAAACACACCTTTTGGGTTTTAAGGTACGAGGTTGGATCACTTGTTTTCTGCTCTGATTTCATCAATGTAACTAAGAACATTATGGAAGACCTTTCCAAGACCGACCCCGACCTTGGAGAGTATGAGCTTTTTGAGAACGGTGCCTACGAGTCCTATTGCATCGAAACCTTGGGCAAGCATGGGGACCAGATCTACTCCAAGCTAGCGACTCGCAAGTCCTTTATGGTATGGCATGGTTTGCAGAAAGCGGCAAAGGAGAACGGGGTCGAAAGGGCATACAAGGTTCAAATTCTTTTTATTTCGGTTTTGTTTTTCGAAACTGGTGTGTTTGCAAGGGGTTGGAACAAAACTAATCATGGACGTTTTTGCAGTGATTTGCCTTGCAAGGTAAATGCTATCTTTTGCGCTACAACACAATGAAATGCAGTTGGGGATACATTTCAAATAGGCAGTTTCAGGGGACACACTTTTATACATGATATGGGAATGCCCCAAACCATTGTTTTTTTTAACTAAAAAAAGTGAGCTTGGGGCATTCCTATTTTGAGACATTCCCATATGATGTATGAGTACATGTGCGTATGTATGTATGTATATGTAAGTGCAAGTGTATATGTTTAATTGTAATAGATGTATGTTTAAATGTATGTATATATGCATTTACATATTCAGGAAAATGTACATGTATATTTTTACACGGCCTGATGGTTTACTCATCTACCAAGTTTGACAGCCAGTGATTTGAACATGTCCAGTTTACTCTTATGTACCACGACCCACATATATATATATATATATATATTGATTGAATATATATATATATATTATAAGTGTGTATATATATATATAACATGTATATCATATATCTAGATACATAACATATTTATTTACCTATAGATTTGTATCTCACCCTGCAGGACCCTGGTGCCAGCAGGTCAGCTGACCATTGCCCGGTGGCAATGAAGGACTTTTGGGGTCAACAATGGTCAACAATGGTTTAATGCCTTCGATGTCTCGATGAAAACAATGAGGAGTTATGGTTTATCCAATGTATTTCATTGTATTTCCCTAATGAGCCTGTATAGTTGTTGACAAGGTCCCTCATGCAGGTTGGCAGGGCCCCTTATTGAACTTATTGATTGTATTTCCAATGTTGCCCTTTTGAGGACCCCTTCAACGAAGCCAGAATGTTGATGCAGATGCCTGTCGAGCCAGTCCTTGAGGATAGCGCTTCTGACTCCGAGCGTGTTCCTCCTCCTCCGAGCAAGAAGCCGAAGACGGCCAAGCTTGTTCAGGATGCAGTTTTGGGTCACCCCATGGTAGCAGTCCCCAACCAGCAGGTGTATCCGTCACTATTCAACAAAGTTTTCAATGAATTTGGGATCGAACCAAAACATGGAAGTTTTTGTTGGCTTAGAGTCCAAAGCCACTGAAACAAATTGAAAAGAATCCATCGGGTTTTGAATTACCATCCCAGGTGAAGAAGGCAAGCACAACTGCGACCAATGGCTCTGCGGTGACCCACATGTTTGGGGACTACAACTTGAAGGATCTCGGTGTGCCAGTCGAAGCTTGGCCTTTAGAAAATGGTAGCTACAAGGGATCCAAGTCCTACACCGTACGATCGAGATCTGGAGCTGCCACTTGTCTTGAATCACAATTTGGGTTTGCATCCTGGTTCAAAAGGGCCCACCAATTCAGATTCAAGAGATGGATATGTATATTTCCAAATGGGGTGACTATATACTATGTGGTATTTACAAATTACAAACTGGGATGAGCATCCAAGTAAGGAAAAAAAATGTATGCCAAACAGGGTTAAAAGCCCATCCTCACCTCCTAAAAAAAATCAGGCTATCGAAGTGCTGTTGGCTGCCCGGGCGTTTGTTGTGAAGAAGACCGGTAATGTTTCTGACGACTCGATGGGAACCCCGCAGACCGGGCAATGCACCTGGTCGAAATACAAAGGGCCAACCACCGCCTGGCAGACGGCCAAGGCGTGGGCCCACTTTATTTAAAGTGTTGTTGAATGTTTGATGGGTATCAGGTGGCAATGCTACGCATTCCATCGCTAGCTCCGTAGGACATAGTGTGTATATGTCAGGGGGCTCCATTTTCTGGAGACAACTTGCAATGTGCAAGGACAATATATGGTATCATGTTTGGTGTCAAAGCTGCAGCTCTGGAGGGATCAGACAAAAAAAAGCTTACCAGCAGCCCTTTTCAGTTGTATGGGTTTAAAGTCTTGATGGGAATGTATGATTTCTTCTATACAGGATGGGCCCCCAAGATAGCCAAGTTGCCTTATAAGCGGTTTAACTATGGGTTATGATAGATATTCCTATAGTTAATTGGGGGTTTTAATGGTTTACAAGCCAGCTTATAATCCTGTACCCCTATATGGCAATTTTCAGTTGAAACTATCCCTAGCTGCTTGAAGGTACGTTCCTCTACGTGAAGGTCAGCCTTTGAGTTCAAGGCGGCCTGTCATGGGATTATCGAACATGCTTGGATGCTGTACCTAGATTGACATTACCCAGAGTTTTTTGATTCAATTGAGGGGATTGCCAAAGCCAAAGCAGAAATTGGTAATTAAATTTCCACACCCATTTCACTCAGTTTTGCCACTGCTTCACCATGTAATAAGCACACCAGGTGCCACCCTTGCCTTAAGGTAACCTCCATCAGTTCCCATCCTGGCAGGTTGAGAAGGGCCGAGGCCATCAAACCAGAAGGAGGCCCGAACTGCTGCTTGAGGTGTAAGTGGAAAAGAACAATCTCCAAGAACCCAAATGCAGTTACGTAAATGTCACCAGAAAAATGAAGAACAATTCCATCATCTTAAGCCCATTTTGGTCCAGCTTCGCAGCAGTGCCCCCATTTTCTTTCACCACCATGGTGAGAAAGTTGCAGCAGAAAGACGTGAAGAAAAGGGTTAAGAAGTCCACAAAGCGCATGCCGTTCCAGCCGAGCCCTCGCACCATCCAGCCTCGATCGATGAAAGATCGGCAGCAGATGTGGTGCTTGGCTGGCCTGCGGCACTTGAGGGCCCCGATTGTCGTTAGGTTTGAAATGGTCATTTCATTTGATATGTATATGTTGATAATGAGAAGCAGGGGTTCTTTTCCAACGTCAATATGGAACTTTCAATATGGCAGTTTCAATATGGCAATTTCGGTGGGTTATCAAAGCCTTCAATCCTTGAATCGAATTTGTGAAAGTTATGGCGTTTCAAGGTTTTGGCGACCCTGGTGAATCTTGTCTTCAGCATCCCGCACTTGGATTGGGACAGTCCTTGTCAACATCTTGAGACGTTTGCTGGAGATTGTCAGGTGACGCAACATGAATGGATGGACTGGTTTGCCAAACGATGTTGTATTTTGTTGCAGTGGAACGGAATTTAATCTTGGGTTACATGATTCCCCAAAAATTGTTGTGGCTATCACACCAAGAATCTGTAAACACAGGAATCTTCAAGTGTCAAAAAGAATTTCTTCTTTTCGGGGCAGCCACCCCCAAGTCCACAGGTTTTCCTGTCTTCCATCTGTTCGACATCCGTAGCCCGTAGCCTTGCAGGAGGGAAGAAAGGCCATCCCGATTGATGTGAGATACAACGCGGAGACCATGAACATGTTGACAGAGACCGGGTTTGGGAATTCCCTTTACCATACCCTCAACTTAGAACCAGGATCAGGATCTTTATCTGCACCTGTGTGCAGCACCTTTGTGATGGTGTGCTTTGGCTAGATCCCATCCACCTGAATGTTTTTTTGATGGTTTTCCAGCGTGTCAAAAACAGATATTTGAGGGTTCATCAAATGTTTTGGAGAGTTAATTTGCTCTACCAAGATCGATGGGGAGCACTTTGAGATCCAAAAAAAATCCACTTGGACGTTCTGATTCCCAAGCAGTGCGGGATGGAAATCTACTCGCATGTCGTGCGCTACTCCTGATGTTGCTATGTTCATGTCGAGGAATCTGGTGGGTATTAGAACAACCTGGAACTAGCACAATGGAATTTCATCCGATATTCCAGGCCCTTTTACGCCTTGTGGCAGTGAGACGGCTGCGGTTCCGAATGTCAAAATTTGGAAGTCCAACACCAAAGCCAACATCTTATATTCAAGTGACTGGGGTGAATCTTATGTCTTTTCCTAGATATTTGTACCAAAATGATCCAAAAGGAATTGCCCTGCAAGGTCCAATATTTCACTGTGGTGGTTGGGGCCCAACTAAGGCCACAGGTGTGTGAACGAGATCACGGACTACAGTGTCCCCGAGCGTTTGAAGGAAAGGAGTATGGTGGTGCGGTATGTCTCCCGTGCTGGGAAGGCCCGCTTTCATGGCGGGTCCCAGCTTAAAGCAAGCCAAAGTTACCCAGCACCGTCCATGGATTGCATTAATAAACTCTGTGGTGGTTCTTATTTGTTTGGTGGACATTAAGGGACATACTATGTACACATAATATGTGGGACATATTGGGAAATACATGGTATTGGTGTATAATATATATTGGTATTGGGTTCCCACTGTATATCCAGTCAATTTTCATTTGGACCCCATTGCTTCCTTGCTTCCCAAGGTTTGGCCGGGCCTTGAGCAAAGTACGTTCCAAACACCAGAAGAGGAACTACCGCCTCGCTGTGCAATTTTTGCGTGCAGCGAAGAAATCGACCAATGAGTTTGATACCCGACCACGCATCAACAAGATGTGGTCCAAACATTGTCAGCTTCAGCCACTCATGGACTTTTTAGCTACCAAAAGGTAGTTGTTACCATGGTGCACCCAAATCATGTGTGAAATTAGTTTCCATCCTGCCAAAGGTTGGAATGGATTGGGTTTGTGCATAGAGCCGGGCTTCTTTAAAACACCAGAAGTTTCGAGAAAGTCTCCAAACAAAACACCAGAAGTTTCGATAAAGTCTCCAAAAGGTAAAAAATATCTCATGCCTTGTGTTATTTCAGTATAGAAATCTGTGCCGGCTCTGGCCTCAACCCATGGTTTCCATCGATGTGCTTACACTTACCCTGGGGCTCGGTGAGTGGAAACAGATGTTCCAACATTGCTCTTATGATGTTCCAATCTAGGCATATCTATAGACATCAAAAGTGTACTTGACATGTCAATGTGACAACCCAGTTGGGTTATCCATTAATCTTTGAAGTGCTACCCATGACCCAAAAGGCAACCATTACACCGCCCAGAGCACCAATGCCCGGAGGTTATGCCACGCCTCTGGTTGAAACGAGGAATCGGCCTGCCTGGCAAGTGTTCAGGGACCAGTCACGAAAATCCAAAGTTTTTCTGTTTTTTTTCACCATTTTCATGGTGCGATTTGCCGAGAAAATGGTGCGAATAACCGAGAATACATGCGCTTTGTATATATCCACCCAAAACAATCATTGCATCCCATAGCAAATTTGTGGATCAGTCGGGGCAACTTTTGAAGCATGCCGGCAACAGTGCCCGTCACCAGGGTACATGGCAAAAGTTCTCCTAGTAACAGCCGTCCATCTGCCCTGAGAACGTCCCCCAGCTCTTCTGCGTCTTGTGGACTTCGTGTCAACTTTGCTAAGAAGCCAGTTGAGGTAAAGAAAGACCAGCTGAAGTCAAAGTCTAAGGGCAGTAAGAGTGCGAAGGAGCAGAAAGGACCAGCTAAAGACACAGGAAAGCACGAGAAGGAGAAGCAGAAGGAAAAGATGGAGAAACAGAAGGAAAAGAATGAGTCAAAGGAGAAGCATGAGTCAAAGGAGAAGAAGGCGTCAAAGGAGAAAAAGGAGTCAAAGGAGAAGAAGGAGAAGGAGTCGAAAGAGAAGAAGGAGAAGGAGTTGAAAGAAAAGAAGGAGAAGGAGTTGAAAGAAAAGAAGGAGAAGGAGTCGAAAGAGAAGAAGGAGAAGGAGTCAAAAGAGAAGAAGGAGAAGGAGTTGAAAGAAAAGAAGGAGAAGGAGTTGAAAGAGAAGAAGGAGAAGGAGTTGAAAGAAAAGAAGGAGAAGGAGTCGAAAGAGAAGAAGGAGAAGGAGTTGATGCAGAAGAAAGAGAAGGAGAAGCAGAAGAAGGAGGCAGAGTCCAAGGACAGGCAGAAAGATGGCAAGGAGAAGGGACAGAAGGTTCTGCCGGCCAATGCGAAGAAGACTGAGACTCAAGAGGCGAAAGAAAATAAGAAGGGCACACGAAAGGAAAGCAGGCAAAACGAGGAGCAGAAGGAGAAGGACGCGAAGAAGGAACGAATGCCTGAGGAGAAGAAGGTACGACATAGAAAGGATGATGACAAAGAAGATGGGTCAAACAAGAAAGAGAAAAAGAGCAAAGAGGACAAGATCAAGTATGTGCCATGTGTCAAGCGACAGATTGAACCAATCTTTGAGACCCCAGATGCCAAAAGACAAAAAGCTGAAGAACGCCTTCAGGAACTGGTTGAGACCTTTGGTGGCATGGACACGCCTGATGATTCGTTCCTTGATGATGATGGTGAGACCACTACGTCGTCTTGCAGAAAGATCTTGGCAGGAGACTTACAAGGTTGCGTGTCACAGGCCGACACAGAGGATGAGGAGGAAGAAGCAGAAGAAGAGAACACAGATGAGGAGGAGTCTGACGAAGAAGAAGAGACAGGAGAAGAGGAAGAGACGAAGGAAGACGCAGTTCCTCAAGAAAATGAGCAGGGATCCGAGGACGAGGAGGAAGAGGATGTTGCTGGAGACAACGGAGACAACAGCAGCAGTGATGACACCAGCAGCGATGATGGCGGTAAGGCATGTGACATCGACCCCAGCAGCGATGATGAAAGCGAGGAACAAAAGGAGGAGGACACAAGCAATGAGCAGAGCGAGACAGCAGTGCCAAGTGAGCACCAGCTAGTTGCAGTGACAGAAGAGACAAAGGAGACTGCCCTTGCCCTTCGCAACAGTCCCTGGGCACTATTAAACATATACATATCAACATATAGACATATATATATATATGTACATGCATATATACACATACATATGTGTATAGATATATACACATACATATGCACATATATACATATATATAATATATATATATATATATACACATATACATATGTACATATATATATATATATATACATGTGTTTAAACATACATACATATATTTATTTACACATATGTTTATACATACATATACATTAACATATTTGAGTATACACACACATACATATACATAAATACATGGTTCCTCGGGAACTAGCTTTTCCACTGCCAGTGGCTATCAAGAGACAACAGAATTTCCAATACCACCTCTGACATGTTACATGCCACTATGTGCTGCTGTCACCCTTTGCCCTTCTAATGCTCTCATCTGAGGCAGCACGAACAAGAGGGAGTGGGACGCGTTTGTGCGTTCTGCACAGAACAAGAAGAAATTTCCTTGTCAACTTGCAGAGTATTACAGTAGCTCAAAGGTCGAGTTATTTAACCTTTGGCTTGACCACAAAGGCGACTGGGAAGAAACCAAGTTGGCAGTGGAGAGAAAAATGGAGGCAAAGCACACCAGCAAGCAGGGCTGGAAAGCGGTGCAGGGCAAAGACTTGCGGGGCAAATATGATGAGACCAAATTCAACAAGCTGATCCAATCCCGACGGGATGCAGGCCTGTACTATGAAGACCCGGATTTTCCGGGGGATGTCGATGAAGCCTGCCTGGCAACCACGCAGGTGTTTGTAAGATTGGGGGGTTGTGTGGGGATAGGTAGATAAAGAGAGAGAGAGAGACAGAGAGAGAGCGATATGTATATATATATATATATATTTTTTATATATATATATATAAGTTGGGATGCCCCCCTACAAATATGTGGGCCTTGAAATTAATTCTGTGCAGTTGGCACTATTAACAACCAGAAGTTGGGATATATCACCAAAACCAATTTGGGCATTGAAATTGTTTATTTACGGGTTTGCATACAGGATATGACTATGGTATAGCCACTGAAAGTTGGGATATGCCCCTGTTTTACCATGGTTAAGCCGATGTTTAGAAATTCAGTAGGGTACCCATTTACAAGCTACTTCCCTGTGTATTTGCCTATTCGTTTCGTGCATGTGTAGATGTGCAAAAATATACATAATATAAATACATATGTTCAAAAATATCATTGCACACAGACACAAACACACAAACGCAGAAATACATATATAGATATATGTATTTCTGTGTGTACGGATTTATTCATCTACTAGAATCACAGTCTCCAGCGTGCCAGTTTCAACATCGGTCTTTTTGCCTGTCTCCTAAGGAGTGTTGGTACTTCATGCGTCAAGGACATGAGTTCAAGCGGGAGGATATCACCAAGGAGAGCATGGCATTGAAGGCTTCATCTAATGTTGATTCAGACCTACGAAGTGCCTTGATCGACGAAGAATCCGGCATCTTGAGACCAGGCCTCCTGCCACAAGTCCACACTGCGACAAGTGCTGGAGCGAAGAATCTCCTGGGTTCCATTTGCCAGGCTGGGCGATCCAAGTCAGATTGGGGAATGGGGAGTTGATTAATCATGTTGGTTTACAGCTACAAAATGCAAAGCCATTTCAAAATCCTTTCAATGTATCTTCTATTGGATCTATGTTCTTTTGCGACTCTACTTGCTTTGACAGGTGCAAGCTGCACCGAAGAAAGCACCAAAGAAAAAGGAGGAGCAAATGGAAAAGGTTGGACCCAAAACAGTGAGAGAGCTTGCTGTGGAGAAAATGCCAGACATGCTCAAAGATGCTGGGCAGTCCATCAAGTTGGACGGCGTGGCATACGCTGGTGATCTTGCGAAAGAGCTCCTGAGCTTGGCTGAGGAGCTTGAAGGGCTGTACCAATCCATGCAAAAAGCTTTGAAGGGAAAGGATGAAGCGATCATCTCCAATCTTCTTGAGAAGGTGAAAGCAAAAGAGGATGCTAATGAAAAAGCCAAGGCTGGGCTGGGACGACTCCCTGCAGGGTTCATCTCCATTTCTTGATAAAGTGTGTTTGCTTTCCTCAATTTGAGTAGGTATAAACTTTCTTGAGTTGTATTGCGGAAATAATTTGACTTTGAGTGATCTGAAATTTCCCCAATCATCTGTTAAACCTTGTGGAAATAATTTGATTTTCAGTGATCTGAATTTCCCCAATTTCAATCATCTGTTAAACCTTGTGGAAATAATTTGATTTTCAGTGATCTGAATTTCGGGAAAAACAATTTGATTTTCAGTGATCTGAAATTCCCCAATCATCTGTTAAACCTTTCGGACATATTTTGATTTTCAGTGATCTGAAATTCCCCAATCAACTGTCAAACCTTGCGGAAATAATTTGATTTTGAGTGATCTGAATTTTCCCCAATCAACTGTGAAACCCCACAAGCTTTCATCTTAGGTTTTAGGTGCCAGACCTCATGGTTTCTTCCAGTTGCCTGTCCACAGTCCTGCAGGCTGCAGCGAGTGCCTTCTTGAAGGCGCCTAGCAAGAAAAAGGAGCCCGGAAGTGGAAAATCCAGGAGATCCAAAGGTAAGGATGCCTCGAAGTGATTTAATTTTGAAAGCGGTTTGCGTCTCCACATGCAAGTGACAAAACATTTGCGTGGACCCATGGTGTTGAGTAGGACAGCTTACTTGATAGAACCTGCAGTCTTCAAGCCACTGCCGTGGTATTTAGGTGCAGGGGCCAGGGGCCCAATTATTTCAATGAAGGTCATGGTCAAATGGTCAAAGTTCTATAAGTTCGTGTGAACAAATGCTCAAATGGTTGGTGTTCCACTGGGAGCAGTGCTGAACTGCAGGCGGCAGGTAATGCTGTGTTCATGCGCAATAGCTGTGAACTTGGGGCAAAGTTCAAATGGAAATGGCAGAGAGAAAAAAGGTTTCAAACTTCAACCGATTGAGAAGTGGGATTGACAAACTTATATACAGTCTTGTGTGGGGTAACTCTGTTTTTGTCCAAAAAAAATGTTTCCCTATGTTCAACTCGTGCCAGGCTTGCCTCCTCCGTCACGAAGGCACGGCTCCGGGTCAAAGTGTGCCCCACTGGCCGGAGCTCAAGCAGTTGTGATTGACACCCGGTCAAAATCAGTCTCATGAAATTGATGAGATACTTTCTCAATGATCTTAAAATTCGCTGAGCCCCTTCCATCTCTTGTGTTTCCCATGACATGGACGAGATACCTTCCACCTTTTTGAGTCTCATGAACCAGCTCTCCATGTCTTTGGGATTTGAAACCCATGGTTTCCCAATCAAAGATTAACATATAACATAGTACAGCCGAGTTTCTTTCAAGGTCCCAGGTGAAAAACAGAAGTCCGAAACATTGTCAAAAATGAGAGGTATAATTCTTGTTTCCTTCAATACCTGATCGCCAGGAAGCGGCAGAAATTGGAGAGCTATGAGCCATCCCAAACTGTCGAAAAAATTACTGACCTCATTGGTCGTGGCAAGATGTCAGTTGCTGCGGCCTGCGAACTTGCAGGTGGAATTGTTTCGGATCACAAAGTGCCTCACGAAGCAGTGAAAGCTTTTTCAACTCTTGGTGGGAATGGGCGTCATCCCCAAAATGCTGAGCGAGACTTACATAGGTGGCTTAAGGCATTGTATGGCTTCAAGCTTGAACCCTATGTCATTGAACTCAACTTGCAAGTGGATAACCAAAGGATTCAGAAAGTTCCTGTTCGAGTTCTCCTTCCACACGAAATTCTCCACGCGGTTGCAACTATGGAATCAAAACTTTTTTTTGATTCTGTGTTCTTGGGGAATATGGACGGTTCTGCAAGAGAACAATTTTGGCGTTACATTCGAACGCTTGGTCCCTGGTCAACCCACGAAATTCTGCAGAACAAAGATTGTGATCTTAAACGTCTCATTGGCATTACCATCCATGGAGACGGAGCAGTGATGAAGCGTGATGACGAATGTTTTTGCTGGAGTATTTCTTCTTGCTTTGGGCAGGAGGGGTTGGTAAAGGATCCCTTGCATCTCAAATATCCAGTCGCTATCATTCCTGAGAGGCACATGCTGACTAAAGAGGTTCCTAGGCGGATCTGATTATCTTCTCTTGTGTTTACTGTTTGAGTAGACTCTCCCCGAAGCAGTTTTATCTATGAGCCCTTGAATATATTATGTTTCTGTAATACCCTGGAACATATAGTAATTATGGTTTTGGTTTCTACTATTTGACACCCTTGCCTTGGTTTTACAATCCCAGGTTCAAAAGGCTGCCAATGCCCAAATTGCAAAGCTCATCGCCTGGTCTTTGCGATGCGCATCTCGTGGTGTAGGGCCTGACAAGGGATTCAAGGATGAACCTTTCCCAAAAAACTCATACCGTTTTTCGTTGGCTGGAAAGGAGCTTGCTGGTGGATGGAGGCAAGCATCAAATCAAAAACAAAAAATGGGTGTCAATCTCTTTGTTTTGGAATATCCCCACTGCACCTTTGATGGTTTCGATGTTCATTCAACATAACATAAAAGCAAATCCTTGCAAGAACTTCAGTGACCATGTCAGGGCTTGCTACTTCGCTTGCAAAGCAGATCTGAAAGCGAGGCAGTACATGCATGAGTTCCGGCAATACTGTCGCTGCGCACAGCCCCATGGTTTGTTTTAAGGCATTTTCTGACCCTGATGATGTGATTCCCAAACTGTAAATGACCTTCAATTCGTTCTAGCTTGCAGTATTTTGAAGCCTGCTCCCAGGCTTTGTGATTCATGCTTGGCATCAGTTGGGAAAAACACCCCGCCCTCAATGCATGGACGGGCCTTCGGTCCCGGGGTGGCGTGGCCGCTCACAAGGCTCAGCCATGAAGCCTATTTGGCACGGGAGCGATGCATCTCCCCCTATACAGCCATTGATGGTTTTCGTCTGGAAACTGTTATGTATGATTGGCTCCACAATGTCAACTTGGGGTGTGGCAGGGATTTGTTTGCAAGTGGTCTTCGGATTCTGATATTGAAAGGAGTTTGGGGTCCTCTTGTAAACTGGGATGATACCTTGAACCGAGTCCACATGGAGTTACATCGGACTTGCGCTGCTCATGGGCCCCTTTTCATGGATTGGCTATTTTCGCACTGAAAGTTTTTCACTGTATTTTTTTCAGTGGCAACAAATGGGACAGAATCGGGATGCCCTGTCAGTGTGTCAGATCTAGTTTTTGCATTTCCGGGATACAATCAACGTATGTTTCAAACAGGGGGTAAATTGAATCGCATATATAAACATGGGAGGGCCCAATAGCTTGTGTGCATAGCAGTAAAAACAAAGATATTGTGGAGTACATGTAGGGGCTTACTAGAATACTTATGTATTTGTATGTCCCACATCACACCACGCCACATCACATCACATCACATGCCATCACAACACATCACATCATATCGCATCACCTCACATCACATCATGCCATCACATCACATCATGCCATCACATCACATCATGCCATCACATCACATCATGCCATCACGTCACATCACATCATGCCATCACATCACATCACATGCCATCACAACACATCACATCACATACAGCCAAATGGCATCACATCACATCAGATCATATCACATCACATGCCATCACATCACATCACATCACATGACAACGCATCACAACACATCGCGTCATGTCACATCACATCACATGCCAGCACATTACATCACATCACAACACATCACATGCCATCACATCACATCACATCACATCACGACCACATGCCAACACATCACATCACATATAACCAAATGGCATTACATCACATCACATCACATCACATCACATGCCATCACATCACATCACATCACATCACATCACATCACATCACATCACATCACATCACATGCCAACACAACACACCACATATAGCCGCATGGCATCACATCACACCTCATCATACCTTTTAAAAACAAACTCTGTCACATCCCATGATAGATGCAGTGGAAATGTCACCAATCATACCATCTCAGGTACTACGTTCCTTGCAAGCCAGTACTGACGCTGGCCGGCTTGGGTGGTCTTTCGGAGTTTGCAGAGCTGAGTTCAAGATACAAGGGTTCCCATGTAAAGATCATGCTCTGGTGGCTGGCCAGAAAATGTCAAGAAGTCGCTGATGTTTCGGATGATATGGATTTACAGGTGCTAGCAGCATGTACCTGGGGTCTCCAAAGGTCAACCGAAATTCAAAGTTTATCCGGGCTGGTTCTGGACCAACCCGATGCTGATGAGGCTTCAGAAACTTTGCTTACCTTCACCAACAGTTTTGCTTGGCTAGCTCTCAGGTTTCACGGTGAGGGGTATCTCTTCAAGGTACGCCCAAAGCTGCACTACTTGGTGCACGTGGCCTTTGAATTGAAAATTCTCAGGCTAAACCAATTCAAACTGTTTTCAACACACATGGAAGAGAGCTATTTGGGAAGGATCAAATTGATCGCCCAGCAGGTCCATGGCAAGACCTTGACACAAAGAATCTTCCAACGGTATGTTTTGACACTTGCCATTTCCATAAGTAGGTTCAAGGGGTGATGAGCCAAACAAACTCGTCCAAAAAGGCGCCTTCGCAAGGCCATCGCGATGGGCAGTTGCCGCGGGCAGTGGAGTGGTAGAAAAGCAGTTGCAAACCAGTGTTGGGTTTTCAAAACGACCTGTCAAACCCCAAAACGAGAAGAGGTTGTTTTGTCAGTTTCGGCGTTTTCAATTGAAATGTTGCTCCTTCAAATGTGTGATGCGGCAAGGTTTGTCGCCCCATCCCGCTAATAATATGTACCAATGTAGTGTCAGCACTGGGGGTTGCAAATATTTCTATAGATGGTTCTTGGGTCCTTTTAAGAGCGTATTACATATTAGAGGGATGGGCTTATGTGAATAGCAGCCGAAATTTGCAAATGCGGTCGCGCCACGTTGGTTCTTCCACCAGGGATCGTGTTTGCACAACACCTTATCCTGAAACAATCGTTTTTGATTTCAAACACATATTTTAAACAAACGCAACTGCTCAGGGAAAAC